AACACAGAAGAAAAGTATGTAAGATGCATTTCATAGTTCCAATAATATTCGCTTGAAGTACACTGACACCAAACATGAGAAATCGCACAACTAACCATAATTAGTTTTTGCTAGCTCTTGTGCCCTTATGCTTCTTCAATCTCTTATAAACTAGAAACATGAAATAGCTTAAAACAATAACTTATTTACAAGCACCTAGTTTTGGAAAAACAAATACTTAGGAAAAAGGAAACGGTTTTATCCATTTTCCTTGTCTATTTCTTTTTGTATAACCAATAATACAGCCTGCCACAAAGTTACGAGTGAAGGCAGGGCAGGAAAAATTTTTATTCCAAGAATGACCTCTACAAGTCCCATGAAGCCAGACGAGTTACTATACTTTTACACGCATTTAAAAGACCAGGGCTACATCTGCTGAAAGAGACACTGAGGAATTCAGAAATCTCAAGTTCGCAACAATGCATCCATTTCATCAATATGTACATCACTGCCTTGCACTGTTACAAAACAGTTGTGTATTTTCCCAAGACAAGTTCTGTTCTTGACATTGTTTGCTTTCTGGCAAGGCTGCCTATGAAATGCTCCCTAAGTGATCTGTGCTACTTGAAATTAAAAAAAAAAAAAAAAAAAAAAAAAAAATCATAAAAGGGCAGGAGGGAGAGTGAACAGACTGCTTCCACTGCAAGGGCATCTTCACAATGCAATTTTTTCAAAGATCAAATGTCACAGAATGCATTTGAAAATTGCATGAAACAAGCTTAACATTGATTTTTTTTTTTTTTTAAAAACCACTGTGGCAAGGGAAAAATTACATAACCAAAACTTCCTTGTGAATGCCTAAAAACCGGCTGACATCAGAAAATAATCTTCTGCCCCTTTGAAAACAAACTATCAACAAGGTACAAAATTTAATAAACAGTCTATTTATTGTCTCTTAAATGTCAGTGCACTTTTTCAACACTTTTCCCATAACACACTTTTATAAGCTTATTCAGTTTTCCTTCCACTATCTTCCTGTAATTCAGAAGACTATTTAGACTCCCATATGGTTGCCATCAAAACCAAGCAAATTAAAACACAAATTATGACTTCTAATATGCTGATGTAACATAATTGCAGCATATCTCACAATTTAGTGAATCATTAGATAAAGCAAAGGTTTCTAAGGTGTAAGTGATTTTCACACATCTTTCCAATTAGGCTAGGGTCAGTAGAATCAAGTGTGGATTGAAATTCAGAGTTAAACAACAGTATGTATCTACAGTTTCCAACAAGTATAAAGCACACAGAGCAATTTAAAACAGTTTGTGGAACTAAAAGTTGGCTTAAAGCTGTCTTACAAATTAGAAGGGAAAAGAAGGGGAAATGGCTCTTGCCTTTTAATAAGCAGGGTGGCCTACTTTTACTTTTAGCACTGTACCTTTGACATCATTCGACATGAAAGACTAAGGCGGAAGATGGGGAGGAGGGTCTGTTTGTTTGCTTTCTTTAACGACAGAAAAATGTTTTCTGGTACCTTACATTACAGGTGCAGCTCTCATCTAAAACAGATTACATTATGATTTATCCAGACAAAGACCTAAAGGCTCATAAAAAAAGCACCATCTTTTCCACCAGTGCTAGAAAGGTAGCAAACATAATGTAGTGCTTTCACACAGACATTATGCTAGTCGAGTTAAAGCCCAGGTGTGTTCCCTGACAAACAACCAGCAGAACAGCAGCTAAGCAATGTAAGGGGAAGCATAATACTGAGTTCTAACTCTTGATTTACATGTATTTGTGCCTATTTAGTCTCAGTTCCGAAATCTTACTTTGGCAACTGCCAAACAAGTTTTCCTTTTCCACAAGAGCATAGTAATCTCATAAAGTAAGTTTTTCTGAACAAGCATTTCCATCATTAATCAATTTTAATACTGAATTTCCAGAAAATTAAGCTTGCAGATATACCTAGAACATTAATTTTGTGTAGACTCAGCAGATAATACCATCTTCTACAACAGTATGAAACACATAGTCAGACAACAACCCATTATCAGGGGTGGTGCAAGACTGAAAACTATCTGAGCACATTGTTACTTTTGTTATAACTACATATACAGCATTAGCATGCAACTTTCCCCTATTCATTATTCTAATAATTCAGTTGTGTTTTTTAAGGAGAGAAATAACAGACTAGAAAAAAAAAAAAAATGACAAAAAGGTCTGATAATTTATATACTACAGAGTACGGGCAATATAAAGTGTCAGATTTTTTGTAGTATCTTCAGTTTAAGTAGCATGTACAATCATTCCCCACAATTTCAGCAGATCTGTAACATTCCTCTGTTCAAGGCACTGACAATGTTCTTATCAAAACTATTTCTCTTCCAACTCAGTTCTCATTATTTTTAGTCCATTGCCTTATGATGCAGAATATAAAGTATTTTCCTGTTTGTTTACATTAAAAATTTAAAAGGTTGTGTTAAAAGCACTACATAATAATGCTCAGATAGAAGTTTTAACAAAGGTGTTCTTCTACATATCTCCATAGTGGCAAGATCCCTAGAGCGTGTCATGGGGTTAACATGATGACCTCTTCATCATTTCAATCTATTTACAATGACTATGTTAGTGGCTATTTTTGATTATCGCTTTCTGTCAACAGCCAACTGAACTTACAATTTTCATTTACAGCTTTTCTGGCCCAGCTTCACAATAGCCTATTGAAGGGTTGGATATTAATTCAGTAAAAACAACATTAAAATGTATTCAACAAGAGTAACTGCCTGTTTTCACTCCAAATCATGAGAGACATGGTAATAAACACAGCCTTCCTCATAAAGAGATTACAATATTCTGAAGAAATGACTAAACTCTTATACAGTACTTTGTCTCTGTGGATTTCGAGTTTAGCCAAGGACACAAATGAGATGATTAGCATTTTGCAAAAAGGGAAGATCTGTAAGCAAGGGACACACATCAAGCAAATGGCCGAGTGGGCGATATACTCAGGTCTTCAGATTAGCATTCCAGTAGTATAAAGCCGCGTGGCCCAGCAAGATATCCTTTAACCCATTCAGTTACAACAGAGGAGCATCTGCCGTCATGCAAAAGCTATGCTGCATCTGCCTCAACAACACAGGAATAACAGAATGACTAGCCACAGAATATCCAAAACATACCTCTTCCCCACTTGCACCATCTGCACAATAGCCTTCAGAGAATTAGATGAAGGAAATTACAGGTTATATAGCTTCTTCTAGACTGACAGTGCCTGAAGGAGCAAGATAAGACGTTTACGTATATATCAACATAATCTCCCTCTTTTAGTCCAAGGACAAGGCACACAAGTCTTCCTCACACTACTCTGTTCCCTGCTGAAAAACATCTGTGTTCACAGCAACATATGCCCGGAGGAATCAAAATGAAAAAACAGACAAGTAAAAAGAAGCATGGCAAACTCAACCACTAAAAACTGAGCGAATAGTTCAATAAGAACAGATACTGTAGGGTCAGAATACTACAAAGCTTGTGACCACTCATCTCCACAGGTCGGTTTTACGTCAAGTAAACATTGACATAAAGCCACAGTCAACTTCACTCTAACAGCTTATTCTCTTGACTAAATAAAGGTATTTCAGTGTAAAAGTGTAATTAATTAAAACTCTCATCCTTCCAAAACATCCTCTTCAGGCATCCTTACTTTCCAGGAACACTGACAGGAAGTTAGCTATAAATACCTGTTAGCCACATAACCACCTTCCTCTATCTTCACCAAGGTGACAATCACAAGCTTAGTATTGGTTAGAAGGTTTCTCTCCTCTATTCTTCCCCACCTTCATGCATAAAACTTCAAGGTGTTTTGGTTGGGTTTTTTTTTTTCCATTCACCTTTCCAGTCCAAAGAAACCACTATACTAGATGTGTACTCAACTTGCCTTCAAAGCCCCTAAAAAACACATTTACCCTACTTGGGTTTGTGCATGTTTCTCATGGCTAAATGGAGTATCTCATGAAAAGAGGGAGCGTGTACATATAAGAGGCTTCACCTAACTTTAACATTCTATACAGTGACAAAACCTCATCATTTATGTGTGTGTGAGAATGCTCACCCTCTGCCACTGTTTCTCTTTCAAATCCAACACATTGAGAAGATGCTAGAAATACTATCATATGCAGGTTACATTTCACTATATGGTTCTGCCTACTCTACAGCCAGAGGTAGAATGGTGCAACAAGATACTGTGCAGTCAGGAAATCAAGCAGCACAGCCAGGAACGCCAGCAAATGCCCAACCGAGCCTCCCATGGGCTTGCACTTTAGGGATGGGTGGGAATATTGTTCTGCCCTCCTCCATCCTATTATTGCTACCACTACTACATGGTAATAGCTAATCATAATAAACCTGTGCCATACACAGTCTCGTCATTGTGTAATCATTGCCTTAAACAGCACTGTTCAGAGAACTTGAGCTGTGATTTTTTTTCAATTATTTTTTATTTAACAGAGATATCATCACGAAACCATGCAGATCAAATCGTTCTCCAGGCCTGGGTGTCTAGCTGCTCCCTCCCCCACAACAAAGCAGATGAGGGGGAAGGAATGAAGGAAGGAGGGAGGAGGAAAAATGGGGAAAAAAAAAAAAAAATCAAACAAACAACAAAACACCCCAACAAAACAGCACACCAAGAAATCCTCTTCGCACCTACAACAAAAGCAATTAGGAGGGCCGGGCGGGAAGAGGAACCAGCAGCCTCGGAAGGTGCAGGAATGCAGCACGCCAACTTAGGGCTGCCCGGGGGGAGGCTGAGGCGGCGGCACCCCCCGCCTCGCGCCCCCTGAAAGCCCCATTCAAAGCCCCAACCGGCGGCCTCGCGCCCAACTGTCACGCACGAGCCCGGGCTCCGCTTTTGCGCGTCCCTCAGGTTTCGTTCGTGGCCGTGCCCAGTCCGGGAGCAGCCGCGGGGGAGGAGGAGGAGGGGAAGGTGGCAGAGGAAGACACGAAGCGACCGGCCCACTTACCCAGAAAATGACATTGAAGCCGAAGATGAAATATTTGATGCAACAACTGACTTCAGGCCCCTTGTAGTGCTTCCCGGACATCCTCTGCGCTCATGAAGACACTTTGCTCGCAGCCAGGGTGAGAACCAAAGGGGGCAAAAATGGAGGGGGGGGGGGGGGGGAAGGGGGAGAAGGGAAGGGGGGGGAAGGAAAAGGAGGGGGGGGGTGAGAATAGAAGGAAGGGGGGCTGGGGCGGCGCGGCGAGCAGGGCTCAGCGCCGGCTGCGCGCCGTGGGGAGATGCGGCAGAAGCGGCGCGGCGGCGGGTCGGCTCCGACTTGCCGGGCGCCGGGGATGGCCGGCGAGCAGCTCCCACCTCCTCCTCTTCTCCCGCATGGAGGAGAGGCACCGGCTACTCGCAACGGGGGGTGGGAGGAAGAGAGAAGGAGAGGAGCGACCGCCGAGGAAGGAGGTGCCCAGGCAGAGGCGCGGCGCGGCGCTGCCGGAGCCGCGAGCTGCCCCCTGCGCTCTCGCGCAGCGCTCCGCCTTCCCCCGCCCCCACAGCGGCAAACGGCCGCCGCGCGCGCCCCGCCCCGCGCGGAGGGAGGGGAAAGGCGCGCCACCGGTCGCCCCGGCTGCGTGACTGGCGTCGCTCCCCACCAATCCGACCGCGCGTACGCCGGCCCCCCACCCCCCCCACCCCCCACCCCCCCCTCCCGAGGCGCCCTGGGGGCGGGGCCGGGGGGCGGCTCTGCGGCGCCCCCCCCACCCCCCCCCTTCCTCTACCTCCGCCGCCCCTTCTCCCGCCGTGGCGTGCCCCGTCGGCGGGGTGCGTGGACCGGAGGGGCTCCGGTGGGGTCTGTGCCCGCCTGCCTTTGTCCGTGGCAGCGAGGGCGGGGGGCGGCCTGGTGGCTCCTGCGGCCGCCTCGGTTACGTAACGGCGCCGGCGGGCCTCAGGGCGGCCCCGGCGGGGGGAGTTGGGGGCTCGCTGGCGAGTATGGGGGGATCCTGCCGACGGGGTGGGTGTGAAGGGCCACACCTGTCAGCGCTGGGGTCAAGGCGGTGCGTTTTGTGTTAGACGGCCGGGAGGAGTAACGGTATTCGCCGAGCCCGTCGCTCCGTTGCGGGTTTGTCGCGGTTCCTTCCATTCTTTCTTACTGCGACGCCTCCCTCGGCAAAGTCCCCGCCGGGTTGCCCCAGCCGTGGCTTTGCACAAAACCCAGAGGTGGCCGGCCGGGGGGCTGCCCCCCGCCGGCAGCCGGGGGGTGATGGCAGAGGCCGGCAGTGAGGAGCAACGCAGCCCGGCGGGTGTGCGGGGACAGGGGACGGCGCTGCCCGGGGGAGCAGCCAGGAGAGCAGCCCGGATCCTGGCTGGCTGCGGTAATGACAAGGAGCAAGACCATAATTGTGCTGTGGAGGTTCTGAATGGGTACCTTCAGATCGCTTCCCACATGAACTTGTATGCACTATGTACACAGGAATACATGAAGAGCTGTTTTACAATGTTTCCTAGAGTTTATATTTTAACATACTCTGAACTTGTATTCAACCTGCCAACTGTAAAGTTGCATGGCTTAGTTGTATTCATATGCTGTTTGGGATTCAGAGTCCACATGGTCTAGCACTAACAGCGTAATTATGAAGACAATGTTGGAGTTGTTCAGCCTGAAGAAGAAAAGGCTTCAGGGAGACCTTATAGCACTTAACAGGGGCCTACAGGAAAGGTGGGGAGGGACTCTTTATCAGGGAGTGTAAGGATAGAATGAGGGGTAACAGTTATAAACTGAAAGAGAGTAGATTTAGATCAGATGTAAGGAGGAAATTCTTCACTGTGCGGGTGGTGAGGCACTGGCCCAGGGTGCCCAGAGCAGCTGTGGCTGCCCCCTCCCTGGAAGGGTTCAAGGCCAGGTTGGACGGGGCTGGGAGCAACCTGGGCTGGTGGAAGGGGGCCCTGCCCGTGGCAGGGGGGTTGGAACTAGATGGTCTTTAAAGTCCCTTCCAACCCAAACGGTTCTATGATGATTTCTTCGCTGAAGAATATAATCTTTTTAGTGTTTCAAGTCTTCAGAATTTCCTGGTCTGGCTATAAGTGCAATACTTCTAATTCAAAAGATGGAAGACTTCTTTGTAATAAATTACATTTCCCATCTCTACAAGGTTACAAGAGAACACACTTGAGAAGTATGATATTGTTAGAACTACAAAAGATAGTCTTTGGTTCAAGATCACTTCATATTGGTTATGGGGCCTTGGTCGTGTGTCTTTTTTGAGAGAGAAGGGAAATACTTGCCTGTCAGGTCTGGTAGATACTGAGGAAAAAAAGCATCTGCTGAAATGGATCCATGAAAATAAGCAGTGTTATTGATAAATGAGAAATTAATGCAACACATCTATAGAACTTAACTATGTAGTTTTACCACGTGAATGTTACCCCTGTGTCTGTTGTTATTGTTAACACAGTATCTTTGCAAGACCATCCATGGGAAGAGGGTAAAAAAGGGTGGGTAATTAGTAATGCATAGGTTTTGTACCAATGAGTAAAAGCACATCACCGCTTACAGTAGGGTATGGTAATAATGTATTATATTAAGGTGCTGTTTTTACAAGTGGCTTCAAATATTGGTGACAACCTGTACAAACATTTATAATATTACTGTCATAACACCCTACTAACACCACGTGTTGGCACCCTCTAGCATTTCAATGCTTCACAGGCAAGAGGAAAATATTGCAGAGTAATATTTATAATGGTAAATTCAGTAACAATCTCGGATGGTTTACCTATTAATCCATTCATTCCCAATCCACAACTTAAAAAAGAAATGCAACCTACATCAGTTATAGGACCATATTACATGGCTTCACTTGCTTTCTCAATCAAGAATGGTATTATCATTGCCAATTGTCATTTTAAAGTCAAAAGCAATTTTTTCACATTGTCCCATCATCTGAGCACCTTAAGGAGAACTGAGGATGTCTGGTGTTAATGTTTAGACTGCTCACTTGAAAAGGGTATTGAACACAGAACCCTGCTCTTTTTAATTCACTTTGTGTGTACAGTTCCTGTGTAGCCTCAGAAATGATCAACCAAACAGCAAAGGCAGCAGAACAGCTTTGATGTAGGTAATTGATCTTTGAGAATGCCAGCTGGAACACAGTCCTCTGCACCTGCAGCAGCCTCTCTGGTTTACAAACACATTTTGTCTCCTGTCCTAAACAAATGGGGTTAAAAAAACCCACATCCTTTGGCTTTGTGCCATCTCTTGTGGATCGCTTCTTACATGTTTTGGCCACCCAGGTCTGGAAGGTGAGCAAAATGGCTATGACAGCACTTTAAATTCACTGTTGGTTACCACTCAACACTGAGTTCCAGTGTGATGTTTTGGCACAAAAGCCTGAGGCAATACTAAGAAAGAGCAATATTACCTTTCCTTGCAGTATGTCAAGACAGTTATTCAAATTGCGTTACTTTATAATTAATCTGACGAGTTACAGGAGTACTAACAGTATTTCAATAACAAAGCAATGTTTCTAATTGCACAGTGCTTCGTAACACTAGGCAATGCTTTGATTTACTTCTGACATCAGCGAAAAAGTCCCATCAGAATGATTAAATCCACTTCCTATCTCTGAGATGTAGATATCAACCAACTTCTTCTGGCCAAGTCTAATGTTAGTAAGTGCAGGAAGTTTGAGAAGTTCGTATCTTAAAAGGGGTATAGATGCAGACTCTGAAATCTTACTTCTCACCAAGTAAAGAGCTCTCATCCCAATTCTTCAGTTCAATCATTTCTTAGATCCAGCACCTCTGTCTTTGTGTCAGCTCCTGTTTTTTGATCTATGAATTCTTTGACATTTTCCAGGGAAAAAGAAATGCAAGGCTGGGTGACTTGAGATGAGAAATGGCTAAGCAGCACATCGAAGTTCCGCGAGTTACCGCATTGCTAATCTCATGACGTGCCACATTTAGTGAGATAAAGAGTTGTGGTCTAAGGAAAGTTCAGTTTGTGTGTCCATAAGTCTAGTTATCTCCTGGACACTTCAATTTAGTTGAGATTCATAGGATAGCAATATTTTTCCACAGGGAAACCATAGAGTTTTCTGACATAGAAGATTTATAAAGTCAAAGCTATTATCTACCTCAAGAATATTTTTCAATCTAAATATCATACTAGCTTGTAATGCCATCTGTGTTCATTTTAAAGTTTTGCAACCATGAAAACACTTCGTCTTCTGCTTAACAAGTGAGCGACCACTGATGAGGGGGTGTTTTTTAGGTTTAAAAGGCATTCTGAGATAAGAATTTCATAGGTCCAAATCAAGTGGTGATACAAGTTGTAATGGCCTTGGTGGAGTTACATGCCATGTCCCAACTGTGAACATGACTTCAGCTTCCCACAAGAATAACACAAATCTTTTCAGTTAATTCACAAGTGCGAGTATTGAGTAATTACTTTTATGGCTAACATTGGTTCGTGGCTTTCCGGTGAGTGTTGAGCTGCTTTTTCATATGAAACTTAGCTCTCAATACTGGATAATAATTTCCTCTTGCAGGACCAACACAACATCATTATAATTTGGTAAAACCAACCCTGTTGTTAGGATGATTCACAAGGCAATAAGCATGTCTATACATCTACAGAAGTAGAGGGCAGAATCTGAAGCTAAGGCGTACTGAATATTGCCCGATAACCAATCGCATTATGTCTGATTTTACTTTCTCAAAAGAATGTATAACTGAGCCTTGATTTTCTTTCTCCAAATGTTGTACTTTTGGTATCAAGATCCATTATTTCATGTGTTTTTAAAGTAAGGATAACTATATGAAGAAACTGCAAGTTGTATTCACTCCAGTTCCCACCAGCAATTGGCAGGTTTTGGAACAAAGATGATGGGAGCTACTAATCAGGATGCAAATTACTTAAAGAGAGCTACCAAGTATCAGCAATAATGGTCACAACGTCTACCCAGCCGAGCTCTACTGGTTGCAGTCTGCAAGCTGGTTTGTTCAAGATGAGCCCAGACAAGTCTTGCAGCAGTCTCAGCTGATAGACATGAAGTCACGGCCTCACAAGTCCCTTTGGAGCAAACATATGCAAAATGAGATATGCAGACCATTAGTGCCAGAAATGCTACTTTGAAACCATAGGGAAGAATAATGCACCCTGCTATTTCTTTCCTGTGAGAAAAGGAAGAGAGGTTTTTTGTGCCAGGTACCTCGAGCCAGGAGCTGCTACCTCTTCTGCTTGTGAGAGGAAGGGCTGGGAGTGGTGGCATGCTTCCTTCCTCACGCTGCGCAGTCAAAGGCAAAGGAGCAGCTGGGGCTGCAGCCGCACCATGGTGCTGCTTGGGGCAAGCATTCAGAAACACAGCTCTGTTTCTGTAGTGCAGTGCCTCAGCAAGCCCCTGTTCCGGAGGTTTTTACAGAGCTTTTTCTTATTAATTCCCCTGACAAGTCTATACAACAGTGAGGCAGGAATAGTATGACATACCTGGTCCATTGCTCAGTCACACAGTGACTGAAGGAGTGGTTCCAAATGCTCTTGCATCCAAACTGGCTCCAAAGTGCAT